TGGTTGGACCTCATAACATCTTTCAGTGGTTTTGATTTTGTGCTTCTTGCATATCCTCCAGTGAACATATGTTGCTACCTTGTTATGTCTGTGGGTATATTCATTTTTTGCTTGTTCTGGACATCCTGAGATAATATGGTTGACAGTTTCATCATATTCTTCTGCAGATCCTTGATTATATGTCAGTGACAGGATCTAGTTGCGAGGCTTTGGTCCTGAGCTGCAATAATTATTGCTTTCAGACTGATGCTCCTCAGCCATTGATGTGTTCTTTGTTGATCTACATCTGTTTCTTTTGTTCTTTTTATGTATTTGACATGCAATGCATTCTCCTCCCAGTTTTGTTGTAATTTCATTTGGCCAAGTTGCTTTATTATTATTATTTTTTTTTTTTTTATTATTATTATTATTATTTTTATTATTATTATTATGTAATAATTATACTTGGCTTTCTCCTCATCAGTTCCTTCGTTTATATGACCATTACATCCTGCCAATACCTCATAAATAATGGACTATTCCATTTTAATCATGGGGAAAGACAAAAGACCTATCAGAGATGCTACTGGGTGTCAGTGAAGAAAAAAAAAGAAAGAAGTGTTTAATGTCTCCTGCCAATACCTCATAAATAAAGGACTATTCCATATTGGATGAAAAAACAAAAGACATATCAATATCATATAAAAGCTACTTGGTTTCAGTTAAAAAATGAAAGAAAGAAGGAAAGATAGAAGTGTTTAACATTTTTTTTGGGGAAATGCAAAAGTTGTCAATTTCAAATCTTTTCAATTGTACCCCCTTACTTCTTAAAATAACAGCATTAATATTTATGATTGTTAGTGTTATATTTTGTTTTAAGCTCAAATATCTAATGTTGTGATAGGGGAATTTCTATGGATATTAGAACTTGCCATGACTTTATTCAATCATAAACTTCACAATTAAAATTTATCAGAAATTTAAAATAAGAAAACAATGAAATTTTCACAGGTTAGAACTAGTTATTATCATTATTTTTATTTTCTTTGATTTCTGGCGTTTACACATTTCTTTCTGGGTTCCGCCCAGGAACCTAAGGTTAGAAATGGCAGCATGACACTTTCCACTGACAAAAAAAAAAAAAAGAAATTACATAGATAAAGCCCTTCATAAAGTGTGGGCTGTACTTGTCAGAACAATTTTTTGTATATCCTTGAGGCAAGGACTTCCAGGAATCCCTTCAATTAGTCTACTGCAATCTTTTCCAACCAGTCCTTGGGCTCTAACTACAACAGAGATTGTTGATCTTCCCATATGCCACATTTTCGAGATTTCTATTTCAAGGTCCTTGTATTTTGACAGCATTTTGACTATCTTCAAAGATACATTGCAGTCAGCAGGGACTGCCATATCAATAAGGAGGCACCATTTTTGTTTGTGGTCTTTTGTTATTATTATTATTATTATTATTATTATTACCATCTTGTTATTATTATTATTGTTACTAGTATTATTATCATTATTATTATTATTATTATTATTTAGTACAGATTTTACATTTTGAGATTTTCAGTTGCTATTTCTGTAATGTTTAGCTTATAGATTTTTCATTTTCTAATTGTTTTCAAAACAAAAAATGTTTTATTTTTTCTTATAAATTCTTTGCCAAGTTTATTTTCATGTTATTGATTTTTTAGATTTTTTATATATTTATCAAAATTTTTCTTGGATTTTAATGACTTTTCAATCTGTTTTTTTGACTTTCACCGTTTTTTTTTTTTTACAAACTTATATTAATTTTAACCAATTTATTGTTTTTTAAACAAATTTCTGATTTTATTATTCTTGATATTTTTATTTCTATTTTTTCTTTTTTAAAGCATTACTTTTATCCCCGTAACTTAAAATCTGTTTATTCATTTTAGTTTTTTTAATCATTTATATATTTTATCATTTTTTTTTTTCAAATAATTTAGGAATTTGAAGTTCTTAAATACAGAATTATATTTTCTGACTTTCCAATTCTGACGTGTTTTTATTCAACTTTTCACTATTTTTTCTTTTTTGTTCGTTTTTGACTAATTTGCATTCTTCTTGCTTCTTGCCCCTTTACATTTTATTATACAGTTATTTTTATTATTCTATTTTATGATTAAATACAGAATTAGATTCTTCAATTCTTTAATTCTTAAATTCATTAATTCCCTAATTCCTTAATTCTTACTGCTTCACAGCTTTCCTTCGAAATGTTTTAAAACAATTTCATTTTTTTGTTTTTCCTTTTTTCTAAAAAAGAATTAAAGGCAAGTCAGATTTTCACAGCTTTCTTCATTTGACAGACCCTTTCCAATCATCTCTGATTACATCTCATGAATATTCATACCTTTTAATACCTGTGATAAATGGAAATTAGGATTTGAATATTCATTAGCCGATGAATATTTATGAGCAGAAAGTAGGCGTGGCTGATATATCGTGACACACCTATATGATGAGAGTCCAGTATGTTGATATATAAAACTTGCAGGAGACGCCGTTTGAAACAAACTGATTTCGCAACTCGTGTGAAACTATTTCAAATTTAAATTTCAGATTTTAATTATCTCTCTTTTTTTAATTAGAAAGCTTAAAAATCTAAATTATTCATCTGATAATATGTAAATGAAATGAAATTGAGAAGTACTATCTGAAATCACAATCATTAACTTTTGCATTTTTACAAGACAAAGACAATCAACCCCCCTACCCTACCCATCTCTCTCTCTCTCTCTCTCTCTCTCTCTCTCTCTCTCTCTCTCTCTCTCTCTCTCTTCGGAATATTTGCTTTATTTTTATCAATAAAGGAGACAACTATGCAGTCAACCTTGACCTCCTCTGTTACATGTTATAAACCCCACCCCAACCCAAAAAATAGTCTCTTCTTCCTTGATTCAAAGACAACACAGTCCAAGAATTTGCATTATTTATTTCAAAATAATAACATAATCTAACAAAAAACAAAGAAACTTCTACTAATTGTACCCCAACAGCTAAACTTTGTTCTCAAATTAGTTCCCTCTCATAAAAAATGAAACCAGTGAACGGCATGTGTCTTTCAACTGAGACAATTTTCACTCCCTAAGAACTAATGCTCTTGAGAAAGTCATAAAACCAGTTCTCCTTACACTATCTCCTCTCCAGAAATCCTAATGAAAAATCTCTCGTCACTGGCATACCACCATGATTACCTAAGTAGATGACTGACAAGGCACTGCAATTAAGCGTTTTATTATATTTTCTTGAATTTGTACAAGTGATTTCATTTTGGGGGGACAGAGAGTGTATAAGAACTCTGCCCAAAGGATCTGTGAACCCAAGTGATTTATACTTTTCTATTAGCCATTATCTTTTTGTGTTGTCAGTAAACACTCGTTGCCACTCTTGTAATGTCAACGAATACTCGTTGCCATTTTCATAATGCTTGTTGTAGTAGAGACTTTGTAATCGCAGAGACAACTATAGTAACGCTTTTGAACAATACTAGTGTCAGACGCCTTCAAATAGCACTTGCACTAATAGTACTTGCTTGATAACACTGGCTTGACAAGTAACCTGTATAGTGATCTGAATAGAGAAATAGTATAGTGAACAGAGTAGAGAATAGCAATAATAGTAATAAAGGATAGAGTAGAAATGAAGATCCAAATAGTATAGAGGATAGACTAGAAATAGCGATCCGAATAGTAATAGAGGACAGACTAGAAATGGCGATCAGTTAGATGTCACTCTACTTCCTACTTATGTGTTTCCTCTATGGCAATGTGATCTACTTAATTCAATAATGGGATTGCCTATGTTTGCTCACTGACGATCAATATTCAAACTTAAGTGTCGGCAGCAACACTTTATTCCTATATAACATTCTTTCCTTTTTTTTTTTTGTTTTGTTCAACTAAATAATTAGATTTTTCTTATAACAATAGGAAATTTTAAATTGACGAACAAAGTCAGCAAGCTGTGTCCATGTTCATAACGGATATTATTGAGAGTTGTTTTCTTTTTTTTTTTATTGTTAATGCTTTCATTATTTTTAACTGTTTCCTGCATTTAGATGTGTATATTATGTTGATGTTTTCTACAAGTATGTTGTAGATAGAAATTGATAGGTCTCTGTGTGTACGTCAATGGATCCTAAAGGAGCTATCATCTGAGAGATGCAAAGTAAGACCTCTTGATAGGCATGTAGTTGTATGCCCAATGTAATTATTATTGCTGTATTTGTTTTCGTCAGGAATGCAATTCCGTAAGGAGCATGCAAATTCATAAATAATGTTGGCCGTATGTAGCTTGGCTCTTGCAGGTGAGTTTTTTTTATTGTTGAGAATAAGGTTGGCCATTTTAATTTTTTATAATAAATAATCAGCTTAATCTTTTTGTTCTAGTTGACTAGAGTTGAATATTTCTTAATGTTTCTAATGGCAAATTTGTCTTCTTTATAATTAATGTGATTTTTATAGAAAATGTTAATGTTATTGTTATTGTTTTTTCTTTATGTTCAGTCTTACTATTGCTTAATTTAGAGAGAAATAATCTAAGTTGTTTCTCTATAAGGTGGGCCAGAAACTATCCTCTCTTTATCTCATCTTCTAGTTAAAAAAGTAAAAGAAAATTATAAAGGTATCTTTAGTAACTCTACACTCGTTACGTAAACACGTACAGCCGTACAAACCCAAACAGCTAAACATGTTATAAACGTAAACACTGGAAAAAGATGCTTATTCGCCATGTTTTTTTGCATTAATACGATATCTATATTTGAATATTACATGCATTATTATTGGATATAGTTAAGTAAAACATCAGTTTTATGAAAATCATGTTTATTTTAAATACAGTTTTACTTTTTGACTACAGTAAGTGGATATATACTTTGATCAACAGAATAGCCACGGCCAGCAGTACATAGGCTAATTTTATATCATGTATGATGCGACAGCCTTAAAATTAGCTTCAAAATTAGGTCTTTAAAAGTGGCATGATACACGAGCATATAAGATAGATAGATAGATAGATAGATAGATAGATAGATAGATAGATAGATAAACATGTACTGACTGAGGATACATTACGTTCACTAGGCAGAGAGAGAGAGAGAGGGAGAGAGACAAATGAATGTCTGTTATAGATAGATAGATAGATAGATAGATAGATAGATAGATAGATAGATAGATAAACATGTACTGAAGGAAAAACAACAGAGAGAAATATAGGAGAGAACATAATGTCTGTGAAGATAGATAGAAAGAAAGATAGATGAGAAAGAAAGAAAAACAACAGACTTATATAGGAACATTGAGTAATAGAAAGAAAGAAATAGGCGCAGACATAGATAGATAGATAAATAGATAGATAGATAGATAGATAGATAGATAGATAGATAGATAAATAGATAGATAATGAACATAGATAGATAATGAATATAGATAGATATACAGTTTGGTCAACGGCGTAGCCAGGGCCAGCAGTACATACGCTAATTTTATATCTCGTGTATGATGCGACCCCCTTAAAATTAACTTCAAAATTAGGTATTCAAAAGTCGCATGGTACGCGAATATATAAGATAGATAGATAGATAGATAGATAGTGTCTGTCCCACAAAGTGACGATTCTTGGAGTAGAACACCCTTCTTACCAAAGGAATACGTAGGGAGTAAGGGTAATTTAAACTTGTGGACATAGAAGAGTGGGTCTTAGCTGTAAAGGTCTGAGCTGGAGGTACTAAAGAACGGTGCGGCATCCAGTAGACCTGTGGTAGGCTTGCAACCTTCTGTATGTGGGATAAGAGGCTGTAGGATGAAAAATAAGTCATCACCCACAAGGCCGCGAAAATTTTTTCTGTCAAGGCTGTCTTTTTGTGAGAGGTTGATCTGACTCTTGTAAAGGTAAAGCATGGCAGAAAGAGTCGGGTATTTTCTGAAGTGTCACAACCATCCGACCATTTCTCCAGCATCTTTAACAATGGATCGTTGCCGGGTGCGACTGGTAAATTGTCGCCATTTTTTATTTTTAATTTCACGTACATACATTTTTTGTTTTTGATTTTGTCAACTGCACAATATAGTAGGGTCAGTTGGGCACCGTCTGTGAGTAAAAGAGCAGCATGGCACAATTCACTCCACCAGAAATTTGGAAACGGCATGCTGTACTGCTTAGCATTCACGCTGGAAGCTCCAATACGTACATTTCAGAGTGTTTGGGTGTCAATCTGAGGACAGTGAAGAGGTTTCAAAAAGAGTTGGATGAGTCTAATGGTGATTACGACGGTGACTGGAGTGATCACTAGTGATAGCGACGTTATACCTCCGTTCATCTTCCAACAGGGACACAGACTCAAGGCGGAGGACTACATCAAGTGCCTTGAAGAGATAGTGATTTTTGGGTCAAGAGGATGGCTGCTGGAAGATCCTATATCTGGCAATAGGACTCTGCACCATGCCACACAAGTAGGAGTACACAGTAATGGATATTAGACACTTTCTGCGACCACATCACCCCTTACATCTGACCACCTAACTCCCTAGACTGAATGTAGGGCACAGCTGAGGGAGAGACCAACAAAACTCTTTGTAACACCAAAGATGAACTGAAGGCAACAATTATGGTAGCATTCACCAACTTATACAAGGAGACCATCCAGAAGAGATGCAGGAGATTCCGAAGTCATCTGAAGGCCATGGTTGAAGCCAATGGCGATTTTACTGAATAAATTTACTCTTTAGTATTTTAAGATATTTTTGTGTAATTTTGTAAATATATCTGTTAAAATGAGATGTCAGTATTATTTTCATTTTTTGTCGTATTTAGACGACAATTTGTCCATCGCACTCTGTATATCTGTTTATATGAGATGTCTGTGTTATTTTCATTTTTGCGTAATTTAGATGACAATTTATTCATCGCACCCTGTAGATGTCTGTGATGAACTTGAGTCCAGATGGATATTAAAACAAGTTGCTCATTGAGAGTGCAACTGTTCATCATGGCTGGAATAAATTTGGTGTCTACTCGGTGGTGATGAAGCGTTACTAGCGTTTGTTGTCGATATATGAATGAATGTTACAAGCCAGTTTTAATCCATTAAGCTCTAAGAGCTAGGTTAGATGAGAGATAAAGCTACCAGACTCAGATCCAATGGCGTAGCTAGAGTGGAGCGCTCCAAGTTGCACTTTTATAGGGTCGACACTTTTCTGTCTATTGCAGACTATAAACATGTATAGACTGTATTGAAATAAAAGTGTTTTTGAATGTCAGGACAGTATTCGCAGTTAAGGTAACTTTCAGTTTTGAGTAAAGTAAACCATGGCATATATATTGGTCTATCTACTGTCTATAGAACGACTAGCAGTAGAGCCCGGGGTTGCCCGGGGATGTAACAGTAAGAGATAGATCAAGTATCGACCATCATAAAGACTGAAAAATAAAATTGACAAAGATTATTGTTTAAGGTTGACGGACACGCATGTCTTAATTAGTTTTATTTTTATTTTATTTTATTTTTTTTTTACGAATTGGTCAAACCCAAACTCAAACAAAAACATTTCTTTCAATCGTTAAGAGTCTACCGATTGAATAGAATTTTATTATAAATAATTGTCTTGTAAATGGAATTTTTAAAGCATTCTGAATGTAAAAATAAAGTAAAAAGTGTGCAAGACAATAAAAAACACTACCTGCTAAAAATAAACTCAAACAAAAACATTGTTTTCAATCGTTACCGATTGAATAGAATTTTATTATAAACAATTGTCTTGTAAATTGAATTTTTAAAGCATTCTGAATGTAAAAATAAAGAAAAAAGTGTGCAAGGCATCAAGAAACACTACCTGCCAAAAAAAAGTGAAGTTTTGTTGAAATCGGTTGAAAAATGTAGGAAATCCGATCCCATATATAAACGAACACACACACACACACACACACACACACACAAATACACACACACACACACACAAACAACCAACCTGGGTTTTATAATAAGTATAACTCGATATTAATAAGTATAACTCGATATGAGTTGTCCCCCTTTCATTAATGCCTCTTAATCGTGTTTTCAAATTGATTTCGTGCAAAAACAATTGTGTTTTTCCAATTTCTGGCGCTGTCAGAACCACCGCAAGGTAATTTTACGCAGTCCTGTGAAGTTTTGTTGAAATCGGTTGAAAAATGTAGGAAATCCGATCCAATATATAAACGTACAGACACACACACACACACACAATCTGCGTTTTATAATAAATAAGATAATTGACAGATGAAATAGTTTTTGACGATGTCATTGAAGAATTTGCTAACAAAAAAAAAACAAGAAAAGTTACTTTATAGAAAGTTGTAATTTTCATTTCACAAATAAAGATGTTCTTGATTTTTCACACTATTTTCCCTCTATATCGTTTTTATTCTTTTTAACTGTTATTGATAATGTTTAACTATGTTTAGTATGTATCTAAACCATACTATATTTGACTATGTGAAAGTAATATTATAATGGTACACAGACTAGTTTTATAACTTTAAGAGTGAGTCACTGTGTAATATTTTTGTGCAGGCCGTGAGTGGAACAAAATCAAGGGCTGCTACGATCGGCATATACTTTAGATAGGCCATCTAGATTTTGGGAAGTGGCCCCATAAATTGTTTTAACATTAACTAAAGATCTGATAATGTTCCTGGGAAGATCATTAATATAAAGAAGAATTTTGTAAAAAAAATTATTTGCGGTACAAAATTTAATAATGGCGTCTAACACATATGCATTTAAAATATTTAGTTAATAAATTTAAAAATATTTATTTAAAAAAGAAAAAGAAAATAAAATGTTAAAATTGGGATTTCGGAGTTTACCTGAATAAAGAACCAAACAAACCAAAAACATTTTCAACAACGTACAAGTTTATTTATTCCGGTAAAACAAAATTCTGAGGTTCTATATGTGACGAATTCTTCGGTGCCTTTTTTTTTTTTTTTTTTTTTCAAAAAGATTCTGTGGGTATACAGAATGAGTTTTGTAGCCAAATTTGTTCAACTTTTGGAGCATTGGTTATGCGACATATAGATGTACATTGCCATGCAAGACTATTAGAACTTTTTTTTATTGACCAATGCTGAACATATAGACAGCATTTTTTTTAGGTATTTAATCGATTTCGTCTGATTTGTCTGATGCCTTTGTTTTGCAAAAATTCCAAAAGATGCCATGTTTAATTCCAGCTGCTGACCGCCAGTCGCCATAACTTTCTTTTGTTGCAACTTCGACTTTGCGAAGTGTTTAGGAGATTTATCTTGGGTCAACCAGTGTACTGAACATCGTCGGTTGTTGTATAGGATCCACTTTTCATCGCATGTCACAATTCGATCAAGAAACGGGTCATTTCATTTGCGCAAGATAAATGAAGACCAGACTTTGTAACGGAAATTTCTCTGGTTTTCGTCCAATCCGTGTCACACCCACTTTTTTTTTAACTTCTTTTCCTTTCCAGTTTGGTTCAAATGCTCGGAAAGTGTTCCAATCTTTCCACTGAGCTCTAATGCAATCTCTTGAACAGTAATACGAGCATTTTCTCTCGACCAGTGCTTCTCAACCATTTCAGCCCATGGACCATTTTTCTCTTCAAAAAATTCAAATGGACCACTCCTACTTTTACTTGTAGGCTGTTCAATTTTTCATACTAAAAATACTCAATGAAAAGACAAAGCAAACGATTTACGCTTTAAAATTTATTTTAGTAAACAAAGATAAACACAGGTTTTCAAAATCAGTTTTGATGATGCCATTCATTCTAAGTCCATTCATCTAGTGACTAACTTGGTCTTGGTATTTCTGGCATATCATAATCAATCTTGATGGTGTCATTCAGTCTATTACAATATTGTGTAGTGATCTATTAACATAGGAATAATTTTTTATATGAATAAAAAACATTATATTATACATAGTATATATAACATTTATATATATATATATAATAAATATATATATAAATGTTATACAGTGTAACCCGGATATAAGAGACCCGGATATAAGAGAAACCCGGATTTAAGAGAGATTTTCTCTGGCCCCAAATTAGAGCCCATACTTACCTAAACAAAATAGACCAAACCCGGATATAAGAGAAACCCGGATATAAGAGACTTCTTCTCCGGTCTCGACAACTTTCTTATATCCGGGTTACACTGTATATACTATGTATAATGTAATTTTTTTTATACTATGTATAATGTAATTTTTTTTGAGCACTCTTTTAAGAATAGTAATTGTTGGTTATTGGAATTCATTCCGTATACACCAATTATATACTTGTATATAATAAATATACATGATAAAAATAAAATAAATATAGCCCTGCATAATACCAACATAATTTTGAAATTTTCAGATATAATGGACATGTGTGTAATTAAACAAAA